TGGTGACAGCAAGAGAACTGTACAGCCAATGGATGACAAATTATTGTGGGAAATCAAGACTGGAGCAATTACATCCCTCATGAATGTCGTCTTCTGTTCTGCTTCCCAAAAAGCCAAAGGATCTCTTAGCAGATAAATGCAGTTTCCCCAGAAGTGTCCTGGGATGACAGCTGCTGCTTTGTGACTCAAGTGAGTATCAACACTTAGGGGCTAGGTGACTTGAAAAATGAATCATGTAGCACCACACAGGGGCATGTTAAATCCACAGTTCTGAACTCTCCTGTGCTTCCACGGTATAAATTGGACAAATTAACTTCTAATTAAAATACAGCCAAATTATCCAGTGTATGCTAGTGTAAACTAGTGCCTCTTAGAGCACTGCATGGTTGCATTTGTTAAAATTTAGAGCAGCTTTACATTTGCGTGTGCTGCTGATGTCCGTGTCTCTCCTGCAGAAGGACAAGTGGATGCCAGTGACAGATGCTCATCAAAGACACTGAAGCTTTTAATCAAGGTCCTTTTCCCTGACTGGCAGCTAGAACAGCTCTTCTGTGACATTCTGGGGAGGAAGACTTCAGTGCCCCTCCTGTGGGGCCTGCATTTCCCAAAGATCTCCCGACACTGCTGAAAGCAACAGGTAAGTGCAATTGCCCAGCAGAGATCTCAGCTGAGCTGGAGGTTCCTTCCCTGCAGGCACATGCCCCAAAATGTCTTCAGAGAAGATCCACAGATTGCAGTGACTCCCAGCAGCCAGAGAGGGGCAAAGCAAGCTCTGCATCTGGATAACAGGGAGTGCTTGTTCTGGATAAGGAGAGACAAGACAGAAAGGGCAGAAATAAGGTAGGAATTAGAAGCAGGTTTCTAGCAAGTGGGGTATTCCAGGTTTGGGACTGCACTTCCTGCTGAGGCAGCAGTAACAGCAATTGAAAAGCTTATTGAGGGCTCAGCTGTTGCATTCACACAGGAATTTATGCTCTAGAGGTACAGCAGGAGGGCACAGCTCAGCTGTTTTTTGTCCTCAGCCTCCCGTTTGGCAGAGCTCGGGCACCAAGCCAGGCATCTGCACAGCAGGACCTGCCCAGTGACACATCCCAGTGTGGGAGGAGAAAACATCTGGAAGCAAGAATGCTATTTTTAGGTTATGGTCCTTCCAAGTGCTGGCAAGGCCACGAAAAATGACAACACAACTTTGGAGGAAGGCAGGCGAGGCCGTGTCACGTCAGTGCATCTCCCACAAACAGGACAACGTGAAGTCAAGGGATGGTGAGGGCTGTGTGTTCCCAGCCCCAAACTGCATGAAGCAATATTTCACTTGCATTCTTGGAAGCATCCAGAATCAACCAGCTTGGCTAGCTCAAGCCTGACTGCATGCAGTCGTGTAAGTATGTTTTATTTACCCACAACAGCATTTCTGCGTGCTCTGGAGAACCAGGTGTCGAGGTAATGCCCTTGCTGGGGCTGCCATTAGCCGATGTTGTTGAGAAAACACTGGTGAGCAGCTTTCAGGACTGAGCCTGCTTTGTGCTTGCACTGTCTGACGGTTTTAATGCTTTTCTTTGTTGCTCTCGCTTTGGTAAAATAAATTGTGCTGTTGGCCTTTTAAGCTCTCTGTTGTTAAAAGTGGACTCTACTGAACCTGGCAGGCTGCAAGGTTATTGTTTTCTTAGCAGGAGTGTTTCTAAAGAAATTGGCATCAGGGCACAGACTTTTCTGGGCAGCTACCAGCCAAGATCCGTTGGAGAGGCTGGGGCATATTTCCAGTTCAGCAGTTAAGAGCTGGAACACCATCATATCAAAGGCAAGGATTATTCTCTTGTGGGCTTCATATATCAGGTGGGAACCTCTTGGTGGCACAGCAGCTCTCCCAGGCTCCCTGGGCAGCCCTGGCTCTGCAGTCAGACACTGTCAGGGTGCAGGAGCTGGTGCCAGTGTGAGGCAGGGGCACACAGCGGGGCATAGCCCCTGCTCAGCTGAGCCTCCAGTTTGAGCTGGTGTGGTATTTCTGGGGTGCTCAGGGGCATCAGCGTGGTGGGGGAAGGGCAGGGGCTGTTTTTGGCTGGCACATGCCCTGGTTGACACAGCTCTGGGCCATGGTCACGATGGCACGAGGCACAAGGTGATGTTACCTGGCAATCAGCCCAGAGCTGAATGAGGTAACAAAGGAGTGACATTTCTCCACTTAGCAGTACAAAAGGAACAAGACTCCTCTTTCTTACAGTGACAGGGCCATTATCCCCTCTGTTTTACTTTCATGCCCTGAATGCTGAGTTCTGGCGGCACCGATGCTGCACCTGCTTTCCTCCTGCTCTGCGTCCAAGCACAGATGCTGACACCCAGTGGCCACGGAGTTACAGGCGCCTGTAAATTCCGAGGTGGAAAATTTCAGCGGAGATGCCCCAGCCGGTGAGATCCAACTTCTGCCTTTCGATTTCCTCGAGTGCACGAGGAGTAAAGAGTTCCTGGGGGATCACAGAACGGGTAAGGCTGGAAGGGAATGCTGGAGCTCATCTAGCCCAGCCTCCCTGCTCAAGCAGGGTCCCCAGGCACACATCACCCAGGATTGTGCCAGATGGATTTTGAATATCTCCAGAGGAGACTCCACAACCTCTCTGTGCAGCCTGTTCCAGTGCTCTGCCACCCTCACAGTAAAGCAATTCCTCCTCACGTTCAGGTGGAACTTTCTGTGTTCCTGTACTCTTATGAAGAAGATGCCAGCCTTGCTTTGTGTCTGCCAGCCATTGGCAGGTTCAAGTGGTTGAAACACTTGTATTCAGAGGCCAGTCAGAAAAACGAAAAAATGTGAGGATGGATATGAGAAGAGAGAAGGTAAACTAGTTTTCAAATTATTGTCTTGCTAGTATCTTGAAAATATACCTCAATGAGAGAATGAGGATGATTTTTGAGTTCAGAGACCTTGGCATTCATCTTCCCTATTTTGCTACTTCCCAAAAGCAGTTAGACTATGACAGACTAAATTGATTTTGCATTTCCCTCCAGCATGGACAGGATTGTGCTTTCATATGTTTGACAAGTATTGACATTCTCTGGGGTCAAAAAAGCTCTATAGGAAAAGTTGTTTTTATTCTTCAGCAAATGGCTCTAAGACTTTATCAGTCCCAGACAGAAAGAAGACCCTAAACTCAAGGGTATGCAAAGACAAAGACTTGCCCCACCAGGCACGTGAAGCTCAGATGGTAACAAAATGTGGAATCCAGACGTGAGCTGGGAACAATAAGAGCAGAGCATGGCAAAGGAGGGATTTTAAAAGGGCTTTGCTAAAAATATTAATTATGGACTAAAGCAAATGAACTAAAACACTGTAATGAGGCTGCTGTGTGAAAGAAATACATAATCGAGGGGGGAAAACCGATACTACTGAAATTCTAGTGAGGCTCAGGACGTTAGGAAGGCTGTTGGACATCTATTAGGACTAAATTTTGCAGATGCTGCAAACATGACGCTGTGAGAAAGCAGGTGGGGGGTGTTTTACTGCTGCTTTACTGGGGAGCAGGGAGCCCTGCACCGGGGCCAAGCCCAGCTTTCCTCACCTAAACACCCCAGTAAAGCTGTGGCGTACAGATACCATAAGCAGATGTACTTAATTTATCACTCTGTTACTAGGCAGGTTTCTAGGCAGCCTTCAGCCTAACTTTTGTATTTTGTGGTTACTGAAATAGCTCTGATCTTCTTTGAGGTGAGTTCTCGCTGTGGAGGGACAACATCCCTTCTTTCGTCATCTCTCACTTGCACCTCTGAGCTTTAATTCTTCCCTTCTTACGTATTTTTTTGGGGCAAAATTGGACTAGAAACTGTAACCCAGCTTAAACCCTCTCCCTTATTGTTCCTTTCACCTTCTCCATTAAATCAGTAAATGCTTTGCAAGTCCAGCTCCCTTCTCCAGTTCTAATGGGCTGCATTCCTCAAGGTAAACCACAGTATTCCAGTGCCCAGTGCATGCTCATGGGTGTTTTTACAAGTAAAACCACCCTATATTGGCTGGCCAGGAGCCCCAGGAGACAGGAGAGGCAGAGGTCGTGTCTCAGTGGAATTGCAACAACCCTGAAACTTCATCTCTGCTCCAGTCTATGCCCAGAACTTTTTTTTTTTTTATTTATTGGTTCTTTCCTTCTTTGGTTGCTCCCCAAATGACATTTGCCTGTTGCCCTCTTAGCGGTGGAAGCAGCTGATAGTGACTGAGTAATTTTGCAGTTGGATGTGTAAGGCAGCACTTGCTATGTTGTTCTGTGCCTGACTGGATTAGTGTGGCTCTTTACGCAGCTGATTGACGCAAACTTGATTTTCTCTCCGAGCTTCCACTGTTCATTAGAAATTCCCATTTTGAACAAATGCTTCTGCGAGAAAGTATGTTTTCTGGGGTTTTTCAGATGGAATGAGGGCACACAAAACCTCTGTGTTCGTCTTGGTAAGTTCTTCAACTGAAAATCCCAGAATGGGCTTGGAAAAGAGTATCTCATCTAGTGATGATTTTTTTTCTCTCATCATCGTAGGAATGTTTCCTTAAAAATCAGTCAGCAATTTCATCAGCTGAAATTGTTGAGGATTCCCATGGTGTTGAGAAACACTGTGGTTGCTTCATTGAATTCTGGTGCTAATGCCCCCTTCCTAGAGAAGTTTCCACATTGCATTTGCTGGAATAACCCTCACTATTCTGAAGCATCTGTCCTTTGCAGTAGCTGTGATCATGCCTTTTTATAGCAGAAGTTCCTCTCAAGGCCTCCCCACTTCAGCTTTTCAGCAGATAAGGCGTATCAGCTAATGAAATAAATATCTCAAGTAGCTCACGTTGAGAATTCAGATGCTCTCAGCAGGGCTCACCCTATTTGGGACTAGGGAGATGTGGTGAGAGCAAAGTGGGGTGTTCAGGTGAAGGTGTTTGCATACATATAGCATTGTGTGTGGGGTGCTGCCCTTCAGGGTGTGTGTTGGTGACAGATTTCCAAAGTCCTTACAAAAGAAAAAAACCCCAACAAACCCACAGAACAATACGTTATCTTTATTCATGGCAGTTTCCAGTGCCTCCTTTCTCTCCCTTGTGGGGTTATCAGACACAGCTTGCCTCAAGAGTCAGCTTAAAACCCTTCCATTTTACCTGCAGGGCCAGTTTAAAACTCCTCCAGTTTCCCCGGGGTCCCGTGAGGACTTGAATTGCAACAACCGGCTTCACAAGTGGCAGCAGGCAGGGAAGGCCCCTGAGGGCTGTGGAAAGCTCAGGGGCTTCTCAGCTGCCCTTGGGGATGATGTTCCAGGAGCAATCCATCAAACACAAGCGGTACAGCAGTCGCAAGCAGAGTCAGCATCCCACAGACGCCTGCGATGGCTTCCCTGCTGGGGATCTGAAATGGAAGCATAGGTGTAGACACACGGCGTGTTAGAAAAGCTCCCCACTTGCCTACATTATATGGCCACAGGGAAAAGATAATAGTCATCAGTCCCAGGGGATCAGTTCTCTTTAAGTGGCCCCTCAGACCTGAAGAAAGTATCCAGGAGCAATACTTTGGATATAGGCAAATTCATCCACCGCATCCGCTTTCCCCGTGTGCCGTCGCTGGCGTGAATGCTCACAGCTGGGATGGGAGTGCACACAGGATGAGCCTTTAGCCATTAAAATGGCACTTCTCTAACACAGCTAGTACAAATCCCTGCTCTTGAGCCGTTTGGGGCATGATAATGCCTTTATTTATGCTGCTGTGCATGCATGTAACTGCTGCATTTAACAGAAGCAGTCGGGGCTCCTCTGAGCAGGATTTGAGTCTCTGCTGTGAGTTTATGGGTTGCTGTAGAGGCATTTCACATCAGAAACAGACACACTGAGGGAGGTTGTTTACTGAAAATAAACTATTATTTGGCGTCCAGTCTTACAGCATCTATTAATGTTTGGCCCTTAGGCAATTAATATGTTGTTTCATTTATAACTGTAGTTATAAATAGTTCTAGACACCAAAAAAAAAAAAAAAAAGCACATTGCTTGGAGGAGCTGCCTTGGTGCTTACCTTTTCTTGCACTGGCCAATCAACATAAATATTATGAGGCTACATGACAAACTCAGAATGACTGGAATGAGGATAAATAGCTGCTTGTCCTCTTTTCTGGACACTGCAAAGATAAACGACAGCAAATAAGGGAATGCTAGAATGGATTATATTACCTCTTACAAAGCTTGGGCTCAGATGCAAACTCACTGGGTCCACATTTGTTACCCTGTGTGTTATTGATTGATTGATTGATTGATTGCAGATATATACCAGGTATATAGTACAGTAAAGGGTAACATACTCCTTCAAGGAGATGTAGGAATGGCTGTGCTGGAGCAGGCTGAGGGTGTAACTAAGCCAGCATCCCCCCTCCAGTGCTGGACACCAGCAGATACCCACGGCAGTCATCAGCACCTGGTCCCAAACAGGCTTTATAAAGGATGCAAAGGAAACACTTTACTTTGGGTTCCATACCAGAGAAACACTCCTGGGTCCATTCGCTCCAAAAGCCCTGGTCAGCACAAAAAATGTTTGTTCTGCCCCTGACACGAACACAGGAAATGTGGCTTTGATTTGCTCGGGGAATTGTGCAAGCAGTCTCCATTTGGGTCAGCACAGGCTG